TGCGGGAAACAACTTGATTTACTTACTGGAAACAATCAATAGTTCCTTGTCAAGTTTCACCAACATGTCCGCTGACTGTGTCAGTACATGTCCCCGAAGGGGCCGCACTAGGCCGTTCCTTCGTTCCTTTGCTTCCCATCATTTTCTTTGCGGACCAATGATGGTTTCGTTCAAACAGCGTGCAACTACTTTGAGTTGACATTTTCAAGCAAAAAAAAACGGAAGGATGTGATCGCTCTTTTGCACAAGTTGGATCCATGAGATATGGCGTGAACCACCCATCCTGTGGGGAAAACCGTGTGTCTTCTTTAGCACCTGGGTGAAGACACAGATCTTCCGAGAAGTGGATTCTAATGCCATTGAATTCCAACATATTGCTGAATAGAAAATGGCAAACTGTTAAACTAACTATAGCTTTTAGTAAACAACTAACTGGTACACTAACATAACTATAGATTGTAGACAAAATAGATGAACATGGGCCCATTTAGTTCGTTGATTTACCTATTGTTAAACCCGTGATCTTTCGCTATTTTTCAGTTTATCAGAGGGTATCCCCAGCATCCCAACATATTTTGCCAGGATGGAAACCCAAAAAATGATCAACACTTGGGTTTTGGAAAATGTCCAGAGCCGAATTCCTATGCATTGAAAGGAGCTCAGAATACTGAATGTTCCTAAACATAATATATACTATATAATATTATATACTATATAACATATACTATATAGTATATAGTATATAATATACAATATACAATATATAATATATAATATATAATATATAATATATGACATATAATAATATAACAATATCATCCTCATTGAAATCATTCAGCCTAGTAGCAATGAGAGCAATGCCATCTTCAATATCCCAGATTTTAGCCATTCTTTGGCCTTGACCTTCCACTTCTTCATGGCTAATCCCACATGATCCATCAGGTTTCCGATGTAGCTACCCTCTGGTAATTTAACATAGCTATTGAAAATGGCCCATTTATAGAATATTTACCTATTAAACATGGTGATTTTCAATAGCCATGTTAAATTACCAAAGGCTATTTGATGTCAGTGAAGCAATGTCAACCACCCGGATTGATGCTTTCTTCCATCAAGATGGTAACATTGGGGATGCTGGATCCTACTGACAACATTATCCACCTTCTTTTTTTTGGTTTAATCAGTTTAATCTCCTAATATTTCGGGTATTAACATCCACTGGCCTTCCCATTTTTCGAGACCTTTGAGACCTTTGAACGCCCGCGTGGTGGTTTCGAGGTGTTTCCGGCGACCAAAACTCCCTCACTTTTATCGGCCCAAGGAGATGCCGGCATCGCCCGGGGTGAACGAAGGACTAGCGAGACGACAAAGATCCGGGAGGAAACACCTGGTGTAACATGGTGTAACATTCAACTCATGTTAAGGGATAAAAGTGTGTATATATATATATATATCATGATATGCCCAGTATTATATCTCCATTTTAAAAGTATGACAATGTTCTTACCATAGTTTTTCGTTTTACATTATATCCATTGGTATTGTCATAGGGATATAATGAGGCATAGGGGCTATAATGGACCAAATAGCTGTATATAATCCCTGGCTATGTTGGGTCACTTTGGGGCGAGGGTTTTTTCAGCATACGTGGCCATAAGTGAGTCGTAAGATGTCGTAAGTACGCTCATTATCGCTTAATATGGGGGATATCAGAGCAACCATAGATATCTATAAGCAGGCCAATCAATCTGGTTGGTGGTTTCAACCCATCCCGAAAGTCTTGGCCAAGCATCATCATCATCATCATCATCATCATCATCATCATCATCTCAGAAATGCACCAACAAACGCAATCAATAAAGGATAGGGATTTGCATAGGCTGGATATGGTTCAGCACTCTTGATGTGACACCAGGCTTTCGTCCAAGGAACATCCATAGATATATCACCTATAAACCACCAACACAAAACATCTATAAACATCTATAAACATCTATAAACCATAGTTATAAATTGGTTATAAGCCCATCAACTCACCAACAAAAACCATAGTTATTGGACTCATGTGCGCCAACTTAGCTATCGAATGGGGGTACCAACTTGTGGAATCCCGTGGGATCGTTATGGAGCCAGTGGAGCTGTCGCATCATGGATTGCCAAGATTGCTGACATTTCAACATCGGTAACATCAAACAAAAAAACATTAGGAGCCCTCACCTAACAAAAATAGAGAATTCAATCGAAAACACATGCCGGTT